GCTTTCTTCAATCGAGGAATACTTTGACTGGTATAATATAAAGGACGACCGGAGAGTAAGAGTTGCTAAAATGAAATTTATAGGCTGGGCAAAAGTTTGGTGGACTGGCGTGGAAGGGGATATAAGAAGATTGGGACAACTTCCTATAAACACATGGCAAGAGATGAAAGCAAAGCTAAGAGAGAAATATATCCCTGCCAATTATCATGATAAATTATGTGAGCAATTAGTTAATTTGAAACAGAGCAACATGTCGGTGGTAGAATATATGCAAAGGTTTGATGAACTTAAGACTCAAAGCCAAGTTTTGGAAGATCCCCGTCAAACACTAGCTCGATTTAAAGCTGGTCTACGGGTTGATTTAAGGCGAGAATTACTTCGACAACCCCTATATAGTGTGGAGCATACATTCCAAGTGGCACTTGACATGGAAGAGTACTTGAGATACCCACCTACTAGAAAAGTGGGGTTTCAAGCCAGGGAGACAGCAATAAAGAGGTCTAATGATGCAAACCATGGCTCAAGGACAGCACCTAATAAACCAATCAATCGATCAAGCGGATTACAAGCTTCTTCCTCAAATGTGGCTAATCCTAAAGGTAAAGGTATTATGACTAATAAATCAAACGGAGAGACAAGAGGAATGTTTATTTCAAGTGTGGGGAGCCAGGACACATGATTTATCAATGTTCAAAGCAGAACAACCTACATATTGGGACGGAAAGATGAGAACGAACAGCAACCACACGAGGATACGAATGAAGAAAATTCGTTTAATTATGGAGCATATATTGCTGATGATTTGGAGGAAGACAAAGAGGATATTTATTTTCTTTCCGTTGTGAGACGCATTCTAACTCCCCCTAAAAGTGGAGCAAGACGATTGGCAATGCACTTCTATTTTTCAGATGCTGGGTCGTTGTGGAAATCAAGCTAAAAAGCTTATTAGATGGTGGAAGCTATATGAATGTTGTGTCAGCATCCACAGTTGAACATCTTAAGCTTCCGGTGGAACCACACCCTCAACCATACAAAGTAGTTTGGATTGATAACACTTCTATACCGGTAACTCAACAACGTCTCGTTTCTTTTTCTTGTGAAAAATACAGTGATTATATTATGTGATGTGATTCCTATGAAAGTCACCCATATCCTTCTTCGCCAACATTGGCTCTATGATCGAGATGTCAAGCATTTTGGAAGAGAAAACACCTACACTTTTCACATGATGATATAAAAAAATGAGGAATCAAAGCCCAAGTGTGTTGTTGAGGGCAAGCAAAGACCTATTCACATCCTGTCAAAGAAACAATTTGAATTGGAAAGCAAAGGCCCAAATGTTATTTATGCTATAGTGATTAAGGAAGTGAAGAAATCTCTTGTTGCTGCTAAACTTGATATTCCTTTTGAAGTGCAAAAGTTGTTGTCTGAATTTTCTGATGTAGCTCCGGAAAAGTTGCCTAATGAGCTCCCTCCAATGCGTAATGTCCAGCACGCAATAGATTTTGTACCGGGCTCTCAATTGCCTAATCTCCCAGCATATCGCATGAACCCAAGTGAGCATGCCGAGCTTAAAAGACAAGTAGATGAGTTGTTGTCCAGAGGTTCTATTCGCCATAGTTTAAGTCCATGTGTTGTCCCCGCTTTGCTTACACCGAAGAAAGATGGTACTTGGTGTCTGTGTGTTGATAGTCGTGTTGTTAACAAGATTACTATCAAGTATCGATTTCCTATTCCTCACCTTGATGATCTACTAGACATGATGGCTGGTTCTATTATCTATTCAAAGATAGATTTGAAGAGTGGACATTATCAAATACGCATAAGACCCGGAGATGAGTGGAAAACTGCTTTCAAGACAAAAGATGGACTCTATGAGTGGCTAGTTATGCCATTTGGTCTTTCCAATGCCCCTAGTACATTCATGCATTTTATGACACAGGTACTTCAACTATTCATTGGTCGCTTTTTAGTAGTTTACTTTGATGATATTTTAATCTATAGCAAGACTACGGAGGAGCACCTCCTTTATCTCCAACAAGTTATGAGAGTTCTTCGTCAAGAGAAGCTCTACATAAACATAAAAAAGTGTTCATTTATGAGTCAGAAAACAGTTTTTTTGGGGTTTGTTATTTCTTCTAAAGGTGGGGAAGCTGATGTTTTTGCCAAACATATACGTGAGATACATGATGAAGTGCGACGAAGGATTGTAACAAGCAACAATTGCTACAAAGCACATGCTAATTCGAAAAAAAAGTTCGCTGAATTCAAGGAAGGAGACATGGTTATGGTCCGTATTAGGCCTGAAAGGTATCCTAAGGGTGCATACAAGAAGCTTCATTCAAAAAGTGTTGGCCCTTACAAGATTATGAAGAAAATAAACTCTAATGCCTATGTTCTTAACTTGCCGAAAAATATGGGGATAAGTAATGTCTTCAATATTGAGGATCTTACTTTATATTGAGGGCATGATGATGATACACATACAGATATTACTGTTGCTAAACTCCCACCAGTTCCACGGTTGAAGGAAGAGATTGAAAATGTTATTGATCATCAATTTGTGTTTACTAGAGGAGGTGGCTATCTAAGGTATCTCATCAAATGGAAGGAGCGTCCACTTTCTGATTGCACGTGGATAACCGATAATGAGTTTCAATGCCTAAACCTTGACTTCTATGAACGATTCCATGCATTTAACTCGCTGGGGTCGAGTATTTTTTAAGCCGGAGAGAGATGATGGCAACAAATGGCAACAACCTTACAAAGTTTATAAAAGGTGTGGGGGGGTGTGCCACAACGAAACAAGGGAATGAAAGGCTGCTTTGCGTTGGATGCTCTTTACCCTCCCCACAATGATGGCTTCGTTGTCTTGAGGACCGTTGAAGCTTGCTTCTTCTCCAGAGTTTTCCTGGTCATAAATACGCCTGTCCTTAATAGAACCGATCTGATTCTCTGAACAATCGAAATTTCGTACTTCTGTCGGATCCTCCCTATCTCCTGATCGAGCTTGTGTAGGTAGATGTTGCCTGGTAGGGCCGATAGTAAGAGTAAGGGCCCTTATCACCTCTTATGAGTCGTCCGGCGGAAAATATTTTCTGAATCCAAGGTTCGAACTTTAATTTGACACATGTTGAATTATGAGGAGCCTACTTGGGAGCTTGCATAAGCATAAATAAAGTCTTATTTTTAGTTGTTTTGCGTTAGGTTTGTAATATTAATGTTTTATGTAGATTTTTTTTTATATTTTTTTAGAGTCGGGGGCATTTTTATAATTTTCAAAATTTCTGGAATAGGTCATATTTTTGGGTCAAATTGTAGTATTGAATATTCTAGAATTTAAAGTCCTAGTTCTACTTAATTTTAGTTTTTTAATTTGTAGAGACCTAATGTCTTTAAAGTTCTAGAAACTTTAGAATCCTAATCGTTTGGGATTAGCATTACTTATAACTCTATATATAGTTAGTGTTACTTTTAATAATAGGGAGAGAGAGATATTCAGAATTTTGAGCGATTATATGTTTTTTGAGTTGTGTGATGCAATTCTAATCGTGGGTGTGATGCCTACGGAACCCTAGGAGTGATTCCTAACCAAAACTATTATTCACGCTACTGTTTACAGCCCCATTACTGTTCACGAGTACTGTTCACAGTTCCTGAACACCCCCTAAACAGTCCCTATTTTTTTATTTTACAAAGTTGTCCTACATCAATCAAAGTACAGAAGGTCGCAACCCCAATTAGAACCCGTATTTTAGTTCAAGTTGGACACTTCAACCAATCTTTTCAGGGTACCAACTTGAGGGGGTGAAAGAAATATTGATAGAATCCAAAGAAATCTATCACTATCTATGTAGTCTAGAGAAATATAAATAATAAGCATGAGTGATGTTTATCTTATAAATATAAGATGAGATCTATCAATACCACAAAATAAGGATTGATGATTTATCTCATATTTATCTAATGTATTTCACTCATCCTATAAAAAGGGTTGAGTCCTTTGCTACCGATCCAACACAAGACACATATTAGACATGTCATATATGTATCCTATAAATAATAACCTATTTTTCTAATCTCGGATACATCTTTGATACGTGAGGCTACACAAGGATACTTTCTCAATATAATTCAAAAAAAATGAAAGAACGGGTGTTTGTATAAATCACGATTTATATGGGTCTTATGTGAGAAAACAAAAACAAAACAAGTATGTTTGATCAAACAACTCGAGTCTAGCATGTCGAGTGCCTAAAAAATTATTTAAGTTCAAAACGAGCCGAATCCGAGTAGATCGACTATTTTATATATATAAAAACCGAGTTTTACAAGCTTGAGTCGAGCCTTTTAGACTTGTTTTCTAGATGAACCTAAAATATTGTTCAAATTTGGCTCGTTTAAAAAATGAACGAGTCGAGTCCAAACCGAATCTAAAATGAGCCAAACCCGAGTAGCTCAGCTCAATTATCATCCCTAATGGAGAACCAAAGTTAAGTTAACAAAGAAAGACCCTCCTTTTTGTCTTGGATTATCAAAAAAAATTATTTTGTGCAATAATCAATTAAATATGTATATAATAAAAAAAATTAAAATATTTTATAATAGGTATATCTCAGTTGTACCCGTATTCTAGTTTTTTAGATTTTGATGCATAGTTGTATTCATATCATATCGTATCCGTACTTTACATGTCCTATATAATCTACTACCTTGAATAATACAACAGATGTAGCCCTCTGGGCGCTTCGTCAGTGGATGTAGACATGATGTATCGAACTATGTATACCGTTGAGTTCCATTTTCTTTTCCTTTTTCTATTTCAATATCTCTCATATTCTAGATTTCTTCATGTGTTTTAGAGTGTGTAATACTTCAACAAAGCCAAAACCATGACCCAACGTGAATATTGATGGGATGAGTTGGAACTGTATAAGTTTGAGCTTGATTTTAACTTCGATTTTGTTGAAGTTCATATTCTAATGCTCAATCCGAGATAGCTCCCTAAAAGCTCCGATGGAGGAACCCATTCTGGAGAAGATGGAGAGGAGAGTATCCACCAGGAGGCAAAGAATATGAGAAGCTCCATCTATTCATCCATTCAAATCATTTTGAGTTTGTCAAATGGAGTAGCACACTTCCAGCCAATATATCAAAAGACTGGATGTGTCCATGGCTGGCTTCACAAGCTTAAAGCTTTGGAGGGCAAAGTACTTGTGGCATATGTGAGGCACATGAAGGCCCAACCAGTTGAAATCAACGGTAGCAGTTAAGGAGAGAGTTGAATTGATTTTTGATTCAAATTTAACCGTGTCTGCTATATATCGTGGGTATTAATGTCATTTGGGTGGCACCATTAAGCGGCTTAACAATGCACATTGATTGGATTATGTGGTTCATTGTTTAACCACAGGAGAGGAAAGTGTTAAAGGACCAAACCACATGGGGATAAAGTGGAATTTGCCCTTCTTTTGGAAAGGATTTTTCTGGTGTGTGGATTTTTTTTTTTTTTTGGGGGGTGGGGGGAGTAGTTGGAGGGGGGATCCAACAGCCTCACTTGGTACCCAGGTAGATGGAAGCTGGTCAAGGTAATATGTTATGCTCTCCATGTTGGGAGTTTCTCTCGGTGCAACAAAGTTACTTACTGTCCTGTTACCTAATAACCACATCACTTATCTATATCATGCAACAATGGTTTTCTGATCACTACTGTTTTCAGAATGTATATGATCACTATTAACTGTTCCACTCTTAACAACGGTGTTTATAACCCAATATTTTGGAAAATCTTTCAAAAACTACTTTGATACTTTTGGGGGCTTCTCCCTCGCAATAGAAGGCAAGAAGAAATTGATAACCATAAAAAATGTAATAAAAATGAACCTGTGGATCCATGACCGCATGGTAAAAAGGAGATGCTGTATGAAAAACACCTTCACACCCATCAACCACTGCATTGAAGGAACCTTCTTCTAGTAGGTTTGCTTTAAACAAGTGAAGTCTATCCTTAGCCCCATCAAGTGCAAGTAAGTGTTCTGTTTTCTTTGGTTCATCTGCAGGAGAATACAAAGCCGCTTCAATAAATAGATATAGTAAAATCTGCGGTAAAAGTTTGATAAATATTGTGTTAGCTAAGGATAAAATATACTAACATATTTGGAATGAATAAGGATTCAAAACTAGGTGTTCCAATTCTCTGTGGTAGGGATGGTCATTATCCAGATGAGTGAAATATGTGGTGTCACAACATTTCTTGGGTCAATCCCCTGAAGTATGCTGAAATTAAATATATCTATTGCGAAAAACAATTAGTCATATGCTTATTGGCTTATACAGGCAGGGGAATTTTTTTGTGCCTCATGTCTGATTGGTAAATTCAACCAAATCCACCATGGGATGGCTAGAAACTACCATGTGATTACGATATATTTACAAAACAAATCTGAACTTGTTCCTAAGTACCACAAAATGCAATTGCTATGATAAAAAAAAAAAAAAAAATACTAATACAAATAATAATTATGGGAATAAAAGTAGTTTGATAATTAAAATAAGAGGAAATGAGAATAGCTTGAATTGTTGTTAGAGTGTTATTTTCTTATTGTTCTACTTTCCTATGATGTAATTTTTCTATTGTTCTACTATCCTATAACATGATTTTTCTATTATATTCTACTTTCTTAATATTATAATGTCTTCAATATCAATCTATTATAAATGAGTGACAAGATGTTGACAACATACATCCTACACACAATATTATTTCATATTCTCTTTCTTTCTCTCCTCTTCTTCTCTTCCTTTTACTTATATTCAAGTTTCAACTTGATATCAAAGCAAGATACTTGGGTTAGTGATGTCTGGTTGTAAGTGGTTGGACCTAGCCAGCAAACGTCAAGTTGTAGTCGTTTTGTTCATCAAATGTTATGACCACTATCAATTACTGTGGGGTGTCTTAATCTGTGTTCATGTCATTCTTGTCAGATCATCTACGCGAACGTTAGTGTTTTTAACCCAATTTAGTGTGGGTTCAATAATTTTCAGCTCAGTTTGGTGTTGGTTTAGTGGTTTTTATCCTAATTCAATTCTAGTTCAATATTTTCAACCCAATTTAGTATTGGTTCAATGGTTTTCAACACAAACTAGTGTTGGTTTAGTGGTTTTTATCCTGGTTCAATTCTGGTTTGGTATTTTCGACTCGGTTTAGCTGTTTTCAACACATTTTAGTGTTGGTTAGTGGTTTTCGTATCGGTTCAGTTTTGATTCAGTGTTTTCAGCCTCGTTCAATGCCAATTTTTGAGTTTTCATCCCATTTTAGTATTGGATTTGTGGGTTTGAGCACGGGTTCAACCCCTTTTTGGCTGATTCGACTCCGATTCTACTTAGTTTATCTTGTTTGCATTTGTTGTGGTTTAATTTGTTGTTGGGTTCATTATAGTTTTGTTGGTTGTGTTCGTTTGTGCCAATATTGTTGGTGATGGTGCTATTGATGTGTTTGTCCTTTACCGTCATCATGTTTTTTTCTTGTGTTGTCGTGATCATTGTTTTATATTGCTTTTATAAAAAACCAAAGAAATGCCTTAGACTTTACATAAAGAAATCATCTGAATTTGTTGCTCAAAGAGAGTATCTTGGTAATACGTGTCAATTAAAGAAGTCCCTAAATGTTCTGAAGTAGTAACATAGAGCTTGATTTTATCAGCATGGAGATAGTACGATCAACTTAGTGATTTTCTCACCAAACCACTGGCGCAATCCACCTTTATTAGTCTTTATTCCAAGTTGGGAATTCTTTATCTCCATGCTCCAACTTGAGAGGGAGCGTTAAGAGTGTTAGTTTCCTATTAATCACATTCCTACTAAGTTATTTTCCTATTATGCCATTTTACTATTGTTCTACTATCTTATTATATGGTTTTCCTATTATGTTCTACTTTCCTAATAGTACAATTGTCTTCAATATCAATCCAATATAAATAGGTGATAGGGGTGTTGACATCATACACTTTTCACACAATATTGCTTTATACTCTCTGATTAGCCCAGAAATGTGTAATCATACTCATTGATATTGGGTTAATTGCATTGGATTGGAAGTTAATTGTGCGTGAATGATAAGTATCAGGTTTTATGTCTATTTGTAGTGTTTGCTTGTTTTCCAGTTAAATAAATCAAAATGACGAAGTTTGGATGCATGCATGCAAAAGGGATGGAGCCTAGAGCTTTTGGAATGATGAAATAAAACTTGGACAGAAAGTTAGAGTCGTTTGAACACGATATAAGATCGTCCGGACAGAGCAAACCCACTGGTTAGTGAAGAAAAAAAATGAAGCAACAAGGAGGAACCAGAAATATTGGTGCACCCGGAAGTACGAAACGGGCATCCGGACATGGTTGGACATCTGTGAACAGCAGCTTTATTGTGTCTGGACGGGGTACCCGTCTCAACAGTTTCTTGTTCTTTGACTTTGACTAGATTTAGACTTCCTCCCCATATAAATACTTGTAATTACCCTAATTTAGGGTGTTATTTGAATATTTAGCCTCTTCGTCTAGTCTTCTTGCATTCTTGCTTGTGGATTGTTGAATCCTCCACTAAAGGTACGAGTGATTCTTTCAATAAAATACAGTATATATTCATGATCCATTGTTATTTTAATGCAAGATTTTTCTTATTAATTGCTTCTTATATTTTAGTAAAGTTTTACTCAGTAAAATCTATTAATTTGTTATGTCACGTACATCAAATGCTTTAAATTCCCTGTGAGTCAAATAATTGGCTTTGTATGTCTAAATCAATTAGGATTTTCATAAATATATTTGGTTCCTTATTTGTCTTGAAAAGAGGTTTTAATTGTGGGAAAGCTTGATTCATCGTTGACTCTAGACATGGTGAATACTTGTAATCTATAATTAAATACTATTTTTTATTCAAATAATGTTTCAATTATACTTTTGGATTTTTTTCAGTATAGTCATTGATAAATCTTCTAATTAAGGTCACTTCTCAGTTGATCCTTAATTGATTTTGAAAACCGGATCAATATACATACTGTGTGGGTTTGAAAAAGAATCCCTGATACTTTAATATTTCCCAAGTGTTATTTTTAATCCCAATTTACTGTTTTCTTAAACAACCAACTTCTCTAATAATTCTCAAAACAGTTTTTTTTTTTTTTTTTTAAATTGCTTGTGTTCTAGTTCTTTATCAATTCCTTGTGGTACGACCTTGGACTACCGAGTATATGTTGCTTCGTGACAACCTACGCTTAGGCATTGCATTATTAAAATTGTAGAACTCTTTTCTTCTTCTTCTTCTTCTTCTTTCTTTCTTGTCCTTAACCCTAAGATGCAAATATTCAAGTTTCGAGTGTTGTCAAAATAGTTTGAGGAATTGGCAAGAATTTATATAATTACAAACTAGGGACCAGATAGACAAATGCTTCCCCATGTTATTTGAGAACCAATTGAGAGGTGCACAATACATGTCCAAAGTCTTGGTATCGACTATCAACTCGTAGGGCACCGAAACATATCAGTCGTGGATCAATATCAGCCGATACTCACAAAATGCATTATAGAAGGCCCAAAAAATTTTAGAAAAGTCATGAAAATTTGTAGAAAATATAAACAACAAATTCTATGAACCAAATTTCCATAATACACTATCTAGCACATTAAACACAATAAAGATGAAATGTAAAGGTGTTACCGAAAACATATTTTATATAGAGTAATGGTAGTTCGGGTTAATTTAAGGATCGAATCCATTATTTTCCTAGAATTGGTTGGTTCTTAATATTAGATAGGGTCTTGTGCCAATCCAATTATAGTTATAGATAAATCTTCAAATTAAATGCCCAAATTAGAGGTCCAAGTAAATATAATTCATTAGCAAAAAATACTAACTAAATGTCATATATCATTTAATCCAGAAAGTAACATGATAAAACAATAATAAGGCTTTAAAAAGCATAATTACATAAAATATAATATTATATGATTAAAGGTGACCTCACCAACGTCAAACACAAGACGTCTCTTGAACTCTTCGGTTACCTTCATAGTTCACACACACACACGGAGACACAGAGAGAGAGAGAGAGAGAGAGAGAGAGAGAGAGAGAGAGGAGGAGGAGGAAAATAGAAGTTCCAACTCAAAGCAAAGTCGAGATCGAAGGCCTCTAGTGATGATGAGATGTACCTGGTGCATAATCATTGCGAGATGAAGACATGAAAACCTAAGAAGAAGAAGAGAGAATTCATTAGCACA